TATTATTATGTTATTAATACGATTAAAAAAGAAAAGCGGAACCTGTGTTTGTTTACAGTTTCGGCCGAGTCGCTCCGGTGTGGGACCGGTGGGAAACGGACGGGCACTAGTGTTTGTAACACCCGGTGTTTGAGTTGTGTGATGGAGTTTCGCTGACAGACAGACAGTAACGCTGCGTGATTTCTGTTTTTACTGAGTCTGTCCTCCTACACGGCGGTTTCTACCGGGAGCTCTCGGCCCAGCGACATGGCGGATAACATTGTGAGTATCACGGCGGCTCGTATTCGCGCCGGTGACGGCTCGACCCGGCTAACGTTAGCTAGCCGCTTAGCGCAAGTCCGGAGTGATGAGGCAGCAGAATTAGCTCAGTGAGTTAGCTAACGTTAGCTGCTTATCATTAGCACAGAGTGACTGGGGCCTTTAGCTAACCGGCTAATCTTAGCTATGAGGCTAGCTGACGGCATCCGAATGAAAAGAATCATTGTTGGCTAACGGAGAAGCTACACGACCCTTTACATTAAACAGTAAAATATGTGGAGTGTTGTTCCGGAGCTCATTAGCTCAACATTAGCGAGCTCGGCGGTCGTACAGAAAGCGAAGATGTTGTAGATCCACTTAAAGTGATATTTTGCTCACTGTGAAAACGCCAACACACTGTGACAGCGTTCTTACTTCAATGAATTCATGTTGCAGCACAAAAGCGCCTTCTGGAAAACGGCAGGGGCTCATAAATGAACGTTAACGTTACTTTTTTTTTGCACTGTCATCGTTGTCATAATGTCCTGACAAGTGACACCACTGTGGAGAGGGGGGAGAGAGGGGGGAGCAGCCCGTGTTTTCACTGGCAGGTGCTGGAATCATGTTCAGTCTGAACCAGGTTTTCATTTATATCTAACAGTTATGGCAGCTGCTCTATATGGGAACACTGGGATGATGGTTTTTTTTTCTGTTGCCATATGCAAAACAATACAGTAATTTCCACTGTGTGATTTGAATAGCTCAGTTTGGAAATAATTATTAATTCTAGAGGGATTTGGGTGACTTTGTAGGCAAGAAAATAGAAAATAAATTAAAGAAATGCTCCAAAAAGTTTGGAAACTTTGTCATATAGTTTACCAAAGGTTGGCCTGTATAGTCAAATAAATGTCCATTTTATTGGTGATTTATGTGTTTTAATGACCTATTTTCATACAGAACAGGAATAAAGAGGTTTATTTTGAATTTGACCACTTTAGCCTATTATCAAGGTGTGCATGTAATAGTTTTAAAGTAAATACAGCAACAAATAAAAGCACATGTACACACGTGAATGTAAATAAGGACAACAATGAAGGAATGAACTTACATTGTTATGCATTTAATAAAGAAAACAAGTAAATCCCAGAAGCCAACAGAAGGCAACCAGGGCGAAACTGCCAAGGTTAGGGTTCCAAGCACCAAGACCAGCTATCGTTTTGTATCATTGCCTCCCTGCCGCGAGCTCCGCAAACAGCACAACATCAAGTTTGCCAGCCCTTGAAGCAGGCTGCCAGGGTCATGGGTGTTTTTAGATCACAAACCAGCCTCCACGGGCTGCATCCTTCACCAGGGGATGTCTGTGGCCTCGGTTTAGCATGCCTCAGGAGACCTGCATGGAAGCCGGAGGAAGCACGACGAAGGACGCAGGGGCTCTATTACAAAAGCGTTTGATGAGCTGTTTATGAACCAGGGAGTTTGTTCATGCAGCCTGTGTTTGTGTATTTGTTGTGTTCCTTAAAGCATCTGATCCATTAACTATCAAGCATTCTATCGAACATTTTTTTTATGGCTGTTGGTGATGATGTTTTGTTGCCCTGGTGAAGGTGGAACACTGGCAAAGGCACCCACAATTAGCTTTTGCTTTGGATGACACTCAGACATGATTTTGATCTCGTCGCTCATAGCTTTGTGTTGCCGATTTTAGTGGTCAAACAAATTGTTTTTCGAAGTCGCTTTGCCTTGTGTCGTGGCATCAATTGAAATACACTGCTAACAGAGTAAATGCCAAAGTATTCCTACGTAGCTGACATTGCTTTTCTTTTGCAACTAAGTCTTCCTTTTGAGTGTTTCTTCTCCTGTTCCTCGCTCATTTTGCTGTGCACATACAGAGCTTGCATGTCCACGAACAATGTGTTCTCTAAACAAAGTTAAAATTAACCATTAAGTGGAGTAAATGATGTTCTATCAGACAGACTTCTCTTGTAGAGTAGTGATGGAAAATTAGAACCGTGTGAGTTTTCTGTATATATCAAGTTGGCGCGTGACGTGTTTGAGTTCGTTTGCCTCACTTTCTTGCTGAACTGAAATATTTTGCAGCGCTAATGCAGTTTTTTTTTCTGTTTTTTTGTCTCGTATAGATCGTCAGGGTACAGTCCCCAGATGGGATGAAGAAAATCCCCTCGACCAAGAGGGAGACAGCCGCTGCTTTTTTGAAAAAGGTACAGTGTGTAAAATACAACAATGATAATGTTTGCTGTTATGATTTGAGTGCTGCAGGTAATCATGTGATTGTTGCCTCCTTCAAGCCTTGAATTCTTCAGTCATTTCCTCCAGAGAACTTTTTTCACTTTTAATGTGTTGTATTTGTGCAGCATCGCATGTACGACTGCATGCATCATCGTCACAAAGTGCACTTGTATTCCTCCTGGGTTTTTGCTTGTTCCTGCTCATTGTTCTTTAATGTATGAAGCTGTGCAGGAATTACCAGAGCAGGTCAGTCCTGCACTGCTCCTCTGCGTGTTTCCACTATTGACGTGGTTTTCAAAGGTAATTTGTGTTGGAGGAATGTAGTAGTGCATAGCTTTACACAGTTGTCACCACAACTGTTTGACAGGTTGTGTTTCACGGTGCAGGCGTTACTTCACACCATTCCTTAGACACAGTGTAAAAGGGTGTGAGAAATACATAGATGAAATAATGACACATTTGGTCTCAAATTTAGATATTTTAAAAATGTTATCTGTGTTTTGTTCCATCCGACCTTTAGTCGCACTTAGGCACCTAAAATAATTACAGATGCATTTGAAGCATTGGCTTTGAACGACCTAAAATAGAACTGTTCTCCAGCAGACTGTTAGCACTGGGGCTTTGCAGCAGCACCTCATCAAAAATGTATGTATCCGTGTTAAGGCAGGATGGTGTAGACTGCAGATCAATGCAAAGGGTAGTTTTCATTCCCCGCTGATGTGCAGCCAGCGATGGGTGGAACAGAAAACCACAAGGCCGACGGGGCAGAGACAGTCTGAGCCCTGCAGGTTATATTTCTGCAGCTGAGACAGAATAAAAGAAGCCCAACGTGACGCTCCGTCTCTCACTGTCTGACAGCACACTTTTTATATACTGTTCTTTGGTGTGGCTTGAGAAAAATAATGATTTTATGCTCAAAGAACCTCCTGACTGTTCTCTGCTAATTTTATCAGCACTGACCTTAAAGATAAATAAATAAAAAACCCACAGCGCTGACGGTCTCCCGCTGTCAGTAACTGTTTTATGATGGTCTGTTGGTTTACATGTCGTTAGAGACGGTGCAATCTTTGCAGTAAACGTCATTATGAATTCAGTTTTAATGTCAAGATAATCATTTTGTTTTTATGTGACCAGAGAGGCTCACAGGTCCACTAATGGTTGTTGGGTCAAGTACATCCTAGCTGTTGAAATACAGGCGAATCATCAGCATCAGGCTGAGTGTCTGCCAGATATGTGATGTGATGTTGAGGTGCCATGGGATATTCTGTTGGCCGGCCTGCTCAGAGTGCGCTTAATAACTTAGTCTGGCACACTGTGAAACAACCGTAAGAGGTGTCCGTACAAGCTGAGTTTCTCTCGTGCCAAGAGGCTCTTTGGTAATCTGCTTTGAGTGAGTGATTGATGTTGTTTGATAAGTGGACAGCCTTAACACGAGCACTGGCTTATGTGATCTGAATCGTTTCCTGGTGTAGATTCCAAGGAAGAACAAACCTTTGACCTAAAGATAAGCCCAGACTAATTTAACACTTAAATGTTTGTTACAGTCTGGAAATGTGGTGGTGTTTTTATTATCGGATGCGTGACAACATTTTTATGTGGTTTCTAATCAGCACATGACCTCCACCTCTCTCACAGGTGGCCAAAGAGTTTGGATTCAACTCCAACGGGTTCTCAGTTTACCTGAACCGCAACAAGACCGGAGAGATCCTTTCCCAGAACAAAGCCCTCAGCCTGCTGAAGATCAAGTAAGTAAACACAAACGGCATTATCAGAAGGGTGGTTGACTGAAATCCTACCTACTCTTCAGCCAATCAATTGGCTGTCGGGGGAAGAAAATGTGAACATTATCTTTAGGTGAAATAAAAGTGCCACAGTCTAATAAATACCTGCAGCCTTCTTTGCTGAAATGAATTCTAAATCAACATAAAAAGTTGGTATTTGTAGCATATTAAGTCATTTGAACCTGCTTATATTTTACTAAAATGATCAGAACAGACTCCGAGAAGACCAGCAGCAGATACTCCTGTGATTTCTATATCAGCTGCTGATCCAGCACAAGAACTATTTAGGAATAAAACACAGATGAGTTAGCTGCTGTTTTTAGATGATCTGCATGTTGGTTGCTGAGCTGTGATACACAAACTGTTGTTTGCAGGGTTTACACTTCTTGTCCATCAGTTTGAACAAAATGCAGCCACACCGACGGCTTCTTTAACATGGTGTCAGTCAGTTTGGACTCGTTCGGTAAATGTTAAATAAGTGAGATCTAGCGGTCTGCATTAGCCTTTAGATTGGACCAGTTCAAAGTTGTGAAAATGTGGGGTTGTTTACAGGAAGTCTGTTCCTTGTGCTCCTGAAAATAATGCATTAATCCTGGAAGGCTGTTGATGTAGAGCTTTTCTCCTTATAAAACAAACACCGACGGTTGTCTGACCTATTTGGTTCGACTGACAGTCCACTTGGACATTGCAGATCTAATTATTAGAATCTGGATTCAGTATCCTAAAAAGTCTGTTTTCTAGTGTCATTCTAGTATCAGACTAATAAGATATATTTATGTAGAACCTTTCAAAACAACGTTGCTGTATTTTACAAAGGAAACATCTGAACAAATACATTTAATTACAGAAGTGTAAAAACTGTTATAAAAATCTTCACAATAATAATAAAAAGATGAATAAAGTAACAATTAAAATGCATAAAATATGCATGAACAATCACATAGAATGAAGTGGAGCTAGAAAACTTAAACAACAACAAAACAAGGCATATGAATTTAAAAGATATTTCTGGTTCTTTTAAAATATACATTTTAAGAGATGCAAATACTTAACATCTGCGAGGAAGTCTTGCACATTTCACTGTTTCATCAGCTCGAGCTAGATCTGGCCATCAAAACACTCATCAAAATAAAAACTTGTATTTCTATTAAGTTGTGAAATTTAAAGTTAAGACTTGTTAATACTTAGAGAATAGCTACATACAGAAAGGAATAAATCATGCATTTACCAGAATAGCGTTGTTCTTGTTTATTATGTGGATTACGAGGGAATACAGTGAGCTACGTTTGTCTGTGTGTGAATGTTGTCACTGGTGCTGTTTTATTGCCACTTGTTTTATTCTTTAGTTGCTTTAATCATCTCATTTGTTGTTTTTCCTGTAGGCATGGGGACATGTTGTTTCTGTTCCCTTCAGCATCCTCCACCTCATCTGGGGAGGTGATGGACACGGCCACCCCGCACACATCTTCATCACTACCCTCCATCTCGTCCTCCTCTTCATCCTCCTCTTCGTCCTCCATGATCCCTCGGTCCTTCTCAGCACCCCAGGTCCAGGAGGACGAGATCGATCAGTATCTGGCAAAGCAAGACGGCAAAATCTACAGGAACAGAGATCCACAGCTGTAAGAGAGCGACTCGGCCGCACACGTATGCAAATTAAATGCAGATTGCGGATAACTAATTATTCATTTCTTGTTCCAGATGTCGCCACGGTGCCCTTGGAAAATGTGTGCACTGTGTACCATTAGAGGTAACAGAGCTTGTGTTTTATTATGTTGCACTGCTACAACAACCCATATATGACAAGTTCATTCTGATTTGACTCACTGAGGATGCGGCTTTTTCTTCTCCAGCCTTTTGACGAAGACTACCTGAATCACCTCGACCCACCAGTGAAGCACATGTCATTCCACGCATACCTTCGCAAGCTGACCGGTGGAGCCGATAAGTGCGAAGTTGTTTGTAATTATCACGGTGGACATATTTGTGATGATCCTTGTGCCAGAGACTAAAACAGTTTTGATTTCTTTCAGAGGGAAGTTTGCTGCTCTGGAGAACATCAGCTGTAAGATAAAGTCCGGCTGCGAGGGTCACCCTCCCTGGCCAGAGGGGATCTGCACCAAGTGCCAGCCCAGTGCCATCACACTGAATAGACAGGTATGTCCCCGGGACCGGTGCTGGAAGATGCATTCAGGTCTTTTATTTCAGTTAGAATACGAATGTCTTTCTGGGTGTTTTTTGCTCCTGTCTCATTTTTCACTGCAATATAAAGTCCTGCACCTCTATGGAAACAGAACAACCACGACTAGAAGGAGAGAGAACTCAGAAATGTCCTCTGTGCAGAAAGACACAGTGATAATGGCATAACTCATAAGAAAGGAAACGATGAAAGTCGAACTTCTTTGATAATTTGTTTAAAAAAAATTTTTTTTTTAAATGGCTATAATACTTGCATTTTTTCAGACTCTACAAATTCTGCATTTTTCTCTCTGTTCTGCACATGAACTGTAGAAAGATGTTTCATGCTGAATGTATCGTAAAACAACCTGCTCCTCTGTGTGCTGTTTGTGAGCCGTGCTGCATTTATGTTATTGATCCGGTACGTTTTACTTTCCTCTCGGTCTCTCTTGTCGTCTCCTCTCTGCTCTCTGGAAACACTGACTGCAGTTCAGCCAAATACTCTTCAGCTTTTTTAGTCATGTGACTGTTGGATGTAGCTGAATCAGTCATGGATTCTCAGCCATACTGAAGTGCACAGAATTCTTTGTTTTTATAGGATCTGGCGCAAACGGCGTATTTTTGGCGTTATTTTCTTAACAGAGACGAGTGTTATAAAGTGGTTTTAGTGGAAAAATGCAATTTTAAGCTTACATTTGTTTATTGTTCTGATAAAACCAAAAATCCGATGATTCTCTCGGCTCTCATAAATGGTGTAATTGTGGCGATGCCTTTCAAACTTGCTGGCAAATTCAAGAACTAGTGCAGTGTAAATAAGTCCACATGGCAGAAAGGCAGTGAGCTTCCATGCTGAGGGCTGGTCCGGCCATCAGGAGCAATTTGGTGTTCAGTGTCTTTCCCATTTCAACACGCTGCTGCCACAGGATTAAACAAACCTGAACTTGTGTGAGGGACACATGAATTTAATTTGTCTGTTCTTGTCGCAGAAATACCGTCACGTGGACAACATCATGTTTGAGAACCACACCATCGCTGACCGTTTCCTGGACTTCTGGAGGAAGACGGGCAGCCAGAGGATGGGCTACCTGTACGGCAGGTACACCGAGCACAAAGACATCCCTCTGGGCATCAGAGCTGAGGTGGCCGCCATCTACGAGCCCCCACAGGTGAGTGAGAGACTCTGCAGCATTTGTTTCTGTCTTCATCAAGTCAATTTAAACATGTTTTGCTTGGTCTGTTTAGTGCACTGTTGTCTTGACTAAACAGCAGCTCTGTTATTCTAATGTTCCCCGCTGTGTTTCAGAATGCCACTCAGAACAGCCTGGAGATGCTGGAGGATCCCAAAGCTGCAGCTGTGGACGAAATCGCTGCCAAACTGGGGCTTTGCAAGGTTGGTCTTCTTTCCTCGTGGGTGCTTCGTCTGACTCTGACCTTTAAATCTTTGCATATTGGCAATTTGCATAAACTGTGAAATTTGAACTCAAGGTTTGAAGCAGATTTTTGCTTCAAGGCTTTCTGATGATCCAACCGTTTAACCGTTTAACTGTTCAGTAACACCAGATTTACGCCCACTCTTTCCAGTATGCTGTCAACCACTTACTGCTGGTATCATGTGTTTGTCATCTGATGCCTCAGGATGTGTGTGTATCCTACTATATGTGTGTGTATAAAGATAGTTATGTAGCTGGATGGATAAAATGTTGAACAATTGAAATTCTGTTCACCTTTTTTCTTTTTTTGTGATGTTATAATTTTGAAAAAACTATAGCAGTTCCTTACATGTTCGTCTTTCTTGCTTCGTAGGTGGGATGGATCTTCACCGACCTGCTGTCTGAGGATACGAGGATAGGAACTGTCCGCTACTCAAGAAACAAGGTGAGGGCGCAGCTGACTCGAAGGGGATCTAGCTGACAGATTAATGCTGCCTTCTCCTCGTGTTATAAATGTCGTTTCCTCTGTCAGGACTCGCATTACCTGAGTGCAGAGGAGTGCATCACGGCGGGATACTTCCAGAACCAACATTCAAACCCCTGCAGACTCTCTCGAGACGGACACTTCGGATCCAAATTTGTGACCGTGGTCGCAACAGGTGAATTCCTTTTTTTCCAATATGTGGCTGAACAGTTTAATTTTTGGACAGTAACGTGGTACTTTTAAACCCTCTTTTACCGGCTGATATTTAAATATCGTACCACAATGTGAAGCAGATGAGCTCAGTGGTTCTCTGTTCTTCGCTGTATTCGTCCTTCTCTGATGACACTAATTCTGAAGATGACAGTTGGTGACTTTGGTGATGTTTCAAAACAGCAGAAAAGGTCGATATTTTAGGGTTTTTTTTGGTGTGCAAACACATATGAAGGAGGAGGGTTTAAGGCCCCTGACTGAGAAATTCAGGTTTTATTTACGTGAATTGTTTCTTGTTCTTTGGTCGGATGTCTGTTGGCAGCTCAGCTGAATCAGTTACTGTCGCAAGCCGAATGCTTTCTCTAACAACAAACTTTTTTTGAACTTATCATGCGTGATGACCGTCATTTTTGGCCTTAATTCTGTCTGAAAAGTTGTATTTTTACCGTCATTGAGCATGAGCCATAAATCCATTGCACATCGGAGCTATAATAGTTAGCACGCACACTTCAGTTTGTTTTCATTTCTTCATCACAGGTCATATTGTCATCGCAATATTGAATTTTGCCTATAATTTTTCTCACAATGTGCAGTCTTTCTCGATTTATTTTCTCCTCTCATTATTTCTGCAATTAACAATTTATTTCTACTGTAGAAGCAAAACACATCACAGAAGTGTTCAGAAACTGCTGATTGCAGTGATTTAACCAAACATGTTCAGAGCAGACTGACACTGAAAGATTCACTGTAGATCAACTGGAAACGCTCACTAGTCTACAGATAATGCACAAGTCTTTATAGAAGTCATCACACTTGACAAGAGAACTAGTTCTTTAGGTTTGCCACATATGAAACGTCTGGATCTGCGTTTAATGTCATCAGTGCGCTGCAGTTTAAAGGTGGAAATGCTCAGCCCTGGTGCTGTGTGCTATCTTGTAAAAACAGCACATGGAGATGTTAACCAGGTAAAAAGCTTATTTTTTTACTCGAGGAAGTCTTAAAGCTCGGTCGCTTAGTCGTGCCGTTGCAAAGCTGTAACTACAGAAGCAGTGCATTTTAAATTTGAGGCCAGTCGAGTGGCGTAACACAAGCCAGGCTCTGCTGGGTCGAGTCCAGCGGTTTTCACCTCCCTCCACTACAACCCTCCAAGTCCCTCTTGTGTGTTTGTTCCAGCGGTGACCTCATCGCTGTTACTCGCATGAATGAGGTGCTGGCAGCCAAAGCTGACGTCACGGCTACTCATCTTGTGCCAGCCGGGCCGAAGTCCATCTGTTTTACTTTCTCTTGTGCTGAGACATAATCTGTTTGCAAATTAGTCTCATGTGCAACATTTAGAAGACTTCAGCTGCTCGGTTTGTTCACGTTATCTTGGCCCGCGCCGCCTCTTTGTTGGTGTTGATGCAGGATCTGATTGGAGGAAACTGCACTCGCGTTGTGGCAAATTAAGTCTTGCGGCAGATGAATCAAATCAGTTTAAAAGCTGCAAAACACAAAGTTTGCTTTTGATGTTTTCAATAACTAATTATTCACAGGGGTTGTTTTTCAAATACAAGCATCAGACATTCTTTGGTCCCAGATTCTCAGAAGTTTCTGCTGCTTTCTTACCGTAACTGTTAAATTAACACAAATGATCCACCTGGTTGCTTATTGAGTCCCATATTGTGCATCTTCTGATTTTTTTTCTTTATCATTTTCTTCTTTATCTTTTTCATGCTTGAGTCGTCTCATGATCTGATTGGTTACACATGACATGTAATAGCCAATCAACTAATGGATAAACGATTAAAGAGTGTTTTTTTTAATTAAACATGTAAAAACAAAACAAAACACAACCTTTTTAAACAGGTTTTGTGTTGGAGTTTGAGTCAATTAAAATTTTGATGCCAGGATTTAAATTTTTACTTCAAAAGCATCTGTTCCCAATATAGTTATCTGTTTTCTTGACTAATAATAACTGGTACCAGTATCCACCCTGAGAAAAACACACAGGGATTTTCATAATTTAAGGACACAGACTACAACGTTTCGACCACCTCTGGTCACCAGGTGAGAGTCAGGAACAGTCAGAACACCTCCAGGAGTTCCCATGATCACAGTATTTGTGTTTCTGTGCTCTGTGTGCAGGCGGTCCAGATAACCAGGTGCACTTTGAAGGATACCAGGTGTCCAATCAGTGCATGGCTCTGGTGAGAGACGAGTGCCTACTGCCCTGCAAAGACGCTCCTGAGCTGGGCTACGCTAAGGAGTCCAGCCCCGAGCAGTACGTCCCCGACGTCTTCTACAAGGTGAGACCTTGATGCAGGCTGTGATGATGGTTTTTGACAAAACAAACTCGACGGTTGTCCATTTTTGGGTCCGATGTTGTGTTTGGGTTCATCCAGATGTTGAGATTTGCATTTGATTTTACAGGACAAAGACAAATTTGGAAATGATGTCACGTTTCTAGCTCGGCCTCTGCCTGTGGAGTACCTTATCATAGATGTGAGTAGCGTACATGGATGTTCATATTTTATTTACGTTGACTGGTGCAATGTACACACACTGCCTTTGTAGATAATTTCCCTTTTTTTTACTTTCTTCTCCAGATAACTACAACTTTTCCAAAGGACCCTCAGTACACCTTTTCCTCAACACAACGCTTCCCCATCGAAAACCGCGATATTCTGGGAGAAACACAAGTAAGTACTTTGTGGACTAAGTCATCGAAACCTTCTCACCTCTGATTTCACCAGAGATATTCAGTGAAGGATTACAGAACATTTTCAGTCTGGTTTTATTGACTTTAAAAATGTGTCTTACAAAAGAAAAGTGTATTTGGGGTGCATGAATGAAATGGAATGGATTTATGGCGTTAATAGGAACATTTCACCTGATAATGAAGTTGTTTTTTGTTTTGGAGCCTTAATATATGTGATTTGCTCCGTCTCTTGCATTTTCTTTTTAGGTATAGTTTGAGATTTAAAATAATAATAATAATAATAACAAGTAAAGTCTGAGATATAGTCTTTACTACAGAAGCAAAAGTCATAAAACTGTCTAAGAAATTCCTTACAACAAATCTAAAGCTGCTGATTTATTCTGATGTATAGAGAAGGAAAGCAGCGACCTCATACAGCATCTCAAGCCTTCCCCTCTTTTCAGTGGAGTTTCTGCGACGTTTTAACTTCCGTTGGCAAAAAACCTGCTGATTCTTGGATGGATTAGTGACTCGCTGTCCAATGAAAGCACAAAGAATGATGCATATTTCAGGGGATTTCAGGGAAACTGCTGCATATTTAAAATGTACTTTTGTAACGTGTAAAAGCACAGTGTGAAGGTCAACGAGTTGACTGCAGTGAGCTCTGGCTGTCGCTCAGAGGAGGTTGTGCAGTAACTGTGGGCAGAGATGTGGTAGCATGATAAATGGCAGGTCTATTGTCAGTTACTTAATACACTACTGACCTGGTTAGTGTACAAATATTTGTCAGACTGGTTTCAAATCAGCTTGATAGCATATCTCCCTTTATGGAAAAAGCCGAAAAAACTATAACAAATTTACATTATTGCACATTCTCGGCTGCATTGTTGTTAAACTATCATTTAGATGCAAACTAATCATCTTCTGTGAGGACAAAACTTTACAGCGCAGCTTCAGTGCATCTACTTTTTGATGCCAACTGGACTCTTAAAAATACTCCCCAGATGTTTTGGTTAACCGAGGTCCACTGAATGTTGTGATTACTGAGTCTGAATGCTGGGTTAGTATTTTATTAGCAGGTAGAATCAGTGAAGCCTAATGCAGCAGTCCTGCAATAAGTTCTCCTTCGTGAAGGTTCAGTTTTACAGTTTCAGAGAGCTGCTGATTTATTTTGAAGCTGCAGTTTGTGCTGCTGTTTAACTGCACTGACTGATTATTTTGTCCATCCCGTGTATATCAATGAGGGTAAACGGCACAACTTAAACCTCGCTGTATATACAGCAGCTCAAGAGAGCCGCAAACTGCATATTAAACTCTCATAAAGGGAGAATTTATAACTGAACCGTTGCTGGTTTTAGCTGCTGATAAACTGCCAACTGAGTGTATTTACACAGCCTCGTTTTAACCCACATAATCAAGGTGCCTGATGCTGTCGTCATTAGTTTTTTTCTGGATTTCCTCACTAAACTTCAGCCTTTACATCTGCCTGTATTTCAGCCTGACGTGGGCAGTCACAGTTGAGAGCCAGAGAAAATCAGACTGACCTTTGGAGTCCGTAACTTCCAGAGTGCAGAGAAACTTAGATTTTTGTTGTTGTTTGTTGCAGGATTTTCACAGTTTAGCGACATACCTGTCCCAGTGCACCTCGGCATCATTCCTGAACATCGTGTCAGACTTCCATCTGCTCCTCTTCCTCGTCACCAATGAAGTCATGCCTCTGAGAGTAAGTCAACACTTCAAAGCCTCCATTTGTTTCCCATTTGTGATGCAGAAAATGGGTTAGAATATGGCCGCATTCCTCTCCGGTCTGGAGCTGGTTACTGCCGTGAGGATGTTTTCACTCAGACCTTTTTGTTCAGGCCGATTTTCAAAGTGGTTCATCACAACACAGTTTCTCTGTGATGTCCCGCTCCATTAGATTTGAACATCCTAAATGTATAGAACCTTATGAAACAAAAAGCTGGTGGTGGGTTTTTTTTGTTTTTTTGACTTTGTCTTGAATGTGTCGCTGTCAGTGGATAAATGAGAGTTTGTGTTTGTGTTTGCAGGACAGCATCGGACTGCTGCTTGATGCAGTGAAGACTTCTAATGAGGATCTGGCACAGACCTGGAAGAAGTCTGAGCAGTGGGCCACCATCGAGCAGCTGTGCAGTGAGTGACCTGTGATGGTTTGAGTCCGTGTAGCTCGATTGAGATCATGGAGAGAAACGGCAGACAGAACTAACGTCCACACAATGTTGAAATTTCACAAACTGCTCGTCGTTTATTAAACACACTCCAACCATATCAGGCCCGGTTGTACAACAACTTTCTCTTCATACATGAACAAAATAGTTACCTCTGGTTTACCATCACTGTTGTTCTCTTTTGTGCAATAAAAGCAGAGTGAAGTGAATATGCTTGACCAAACATCCAGCATCACTCACACAAAAACATAGGTGCGGACTGATGACGTCACCACTAGGCGACACAGCGTACACCTTGTTAAAGGGACATTTCATAAAACTCGACTGTTACACACCTCAGAACTTTACCCGAACCTCAACCTGTTCACTTTGTTCTCTAATGGACATATTCTGTAGTGCTGGAATGATTAGTTTATTAGTGAACCCTCAAAACCCCTAAAACCTGCTGGCAGCTTTGAAAAGCATGTTATTGTTAAAGTTAAAATCTACCATTTATCAGAGAAAGAAGCTGTAAAAATAGACATCATTGTCAGATTTTAAACTGTCAAATAGTCCTTGAACTAGTCATTTGTGACATTTCAGGAAGATTCACCAACTCAAAGCTTAAAACTAATGTTTCATTAAAATCACTTTATTCTACATGTCACATTAAAAAAAAAATTTAGTTAACCATTTACAGTAGATCCTGTGAAAAACTTACAATTCTGTGTTCAGCAACACAATTGAAAAGCCGTGACTGACTCGGCTGTAAGCAACAGTCAGAAATTTGTGAAGTTTCAGTTGAACTGCGGGCAGTGTTTCCTCAGAGCAGAGAGGAGACATCAAGCGAGACTGAGGAAAATAAATATTAAGGATCAAGGAAAGAAAAGCCACATGGTTCAAAACCTTTGGACGATACACTCAGCATGGTGAAATATCTTTGTAGAGTTGATGTGCGGAGTAGAATGAAAACTACTGAGTTTGTAAAAATGTAAATAGTTAAATATCTATAGTATTTGGAGCCACCGTTTTACTTTCCAATGCTTGTGACACATGTTGGCACTTAGAAAAATGGTGCACAAGTTGATCCAGGATTCTTCTACATTGAATTTTTAGAAAACAAACAATCAAAGAAATTAATGTAGGCTTTTTGTCCCTGAGTCCACAATGAGTTAAACGTAGAAGAAGCAAAACACGCAATTAATTTGAACATAGAAGACAGGATTTAATTTACAGCAGGAGAAGGTAAAATCATTACTTGGTTGCTCACATTCGCTGCTGGCTTGATTAAAAACCACTGAGTAGAGCAAAAAATAAAAAACAACACCACTACAGCTAGAGAAATAAATCCTGTCACCTCTCCACCACTAACACTGCCATGTTTGACTGTTTGATTGGAGACAGACACACAGCTACAATCAAGAAGCCACATCGAACGCTAAACACACAAAAACGGTTCACAGAGCGAAGTCATAAAAACGTTCATATGAAATGTGCAAAATATATGGTATAGAAATACGAAGTGTGTTAAGATGTAAAAGATCTATGATGTTAAAAAGAAATGACATGCAGCAGGTCCAGTATGCAACAAAAAACACAAACTTGCATCCCTAAACTGTCAACGTAACACAGAAAGATATAAATATACCTTTGTGGATTGAATTTTCTCTGTTACAGAGACCTTCAGAAAAACTGGGCTGACAAACTCTTTTAGGATTGATTACCGTAATTTCCAGACTATTGAGCGCACCTGAATATAAGCTGGACCCGATTTAAAAAGAAAAAACAATTTGTACATATATCGGCTGCACTTGTCTATAAGCTGCAGATGTCCACGTGGTAACATGAGATATTTACACAGAAATATTTTTTTAAACTTTTAATTAAATACGTACCAGTAACATACACGAATACGTAAATGCTTTTTTCTGAACAGTTCCTGTAACACGGCTGGTTAAGAAAATAAAAACTACAACAGCCTACCAGGAAAAGTCATTGATCGCTACCTTCATCTTCCTCCTGCACTAAAACCCACTAAAGTCGTCTTCTTCAGTGTCTTCAGGAGTTGAACAGCCTCAGAATGACTTTGTCACTTCCTCAGTCTCTCTGTCGTTGCTCTCAGTGTCACTTTCATCTTGAGGCAAATTTGTAAAACTTACCGCAGCGTTCAAAGCGTGTGAAAAAAGTAGCGGCTTATAGTCCGGACTTTACGGTAACTCTGACAGACTTATTCTGCTGAAAACACCTGCTAGCTTAGCAACATTAAGGCTACAAACAAACCCTAATCTAGTCACCAAATACGAGACACTCCAGCATGGCTTTTTCTATTCATTTGGTGTACGTGCTGCGCCTCAGTAACGCCCTGTAATGCGTCTCCTGTCCCTGCAGGTACAGTGGGTGGGCAGCCCTCCAGCTCTCTGGGTTACGGGGCCATGGGCGGCCCCTCGGTTCCTGCCTCCTCCTCAGCCATGTGGTCCTGCCTCCACTGCACCTTCATGAACCAGCCTGGCACGGAGCACTGTGAAATGTGCAGCCTGCCCCGCAGTTAAAACCCTCCACCCTGCTTCCTCGCCCTGCCCTGATCAGTCACTGCACCAGGACCAGCTGCAAGATCCGGACGCCCCGTTTTCTTTATTTTTCCGCCTCACGTTGACGCCTCCGCCCTTCCCACCTCACCGGCTTCTGTGCCGCGCAGAGGGATGCGCTCGTTTACATCGAATTTCACAGAGTAAATAAGGTTAAACCAGACTGTTTCGTGTTTTGTATCCCTCCTCACAGCGGCTCTGGTGAGTGGCGGGTTTTAGGTAAAGCACTTTTGGCTGAGGCCCCCCATCACCCTAAAATAAATCCTCCCTTGTGGCTCAAATATATCCTGCTGTGACTCAGGACAACAGCAAAGACTCAAGTGTTTGGATGTTTTCTCACTTCAGTGCCGCTCTCACTCTCACAACGTCTTCTGGAAAATCTTGCTGTGTATAAATACATTTGAGGAATGACACTGTTATTTAATTTTCTTCTTCTTCTTTTTTTTTTTTTATTATTATCAGATTGTAGCGCATATCTTAAAATTTTGAATCTTCAGCGTGGACTCTGCTCAGTCAGGTTTTTATAGGTCTCTTTGGCCCTTAAAGCCCCTAAAAGTACAATCATCGGTCAAAGGTCAGACCTGAAAGAGCTCCAGAGTAATCCCACTTATGTAGAGAGTTTATATTTTCAGTATTAAATTAAGTCCCACATTTGAAGTAACATTATCACCTTTTGGACTGATACCTAAAAGATCTTTCGCTGGTTTGTTGGAATCGTAGCTTTTTGGATTTGGTGGTTTGAACTTGATCAGGCACAATATGTAGCTTATTTTATCAGCTGTATGTTCTTTTTCTCTGATATCGCGCCCCGAGACACCATCCACCGTCATCTCCATCCTTATCACTGACTCGCAGAGTTTTAGCCGTGAGGTGCTTTAGAAACAACTGGTGCTCGCCACTCTCCTCTCCGTCACTCTCACTTCCCCCCCGTGGTTCTTCTTCTTTTGTATCCTCACTCACGCTGGTGCGAACGATGCCAGAGCGTTGACCAACGTTCCTCCACCGAAGGGCCCCTTGTGGGTTTTTCCCATCGCTCAGCCTTCAAAGACTTCGCTGCTCAGAGTGCAAAGGGGTCGCAGGTCACCGTGGGGGGAGAAAAGAGACGCTTTGTCTCGGCCGTTATAAATCTGCAAGAAGGATGGCGATGATCTGCTTTTTAAACACTGATTCTTCTCAAGCAAAAACCCTGAGCTTCTTCCTGCAGGAGGCATTGAGGACGTTCAGCATGGTCGCTGTTGTTTTTATAGTTTCTTTTACAGAGCTGCGGTTGTCAGTGGTGAAAAAGGGGCTGAGAATGAAAGCTTGTCTCGATAGCACTCAAAACAGGCAACTGAAAAGGTCAGTTCACCCATATTATAACACATTCTCATATCCAGATCTGTCGCTGCAGGCATTTATTCGCAATGCTGGGGGAGGCGGAGCTAAGCCCAGGATGCAGTGATGGTGTCCCAGCAAAATAGTGACAGTGGAAGCTTGTTGTTAGAACATTTGGAAGCACCGTCTTTAAAAATGTCACAACAATAAGCGCCCCCTTGTTGTACAATCCAGATTCTTTGCAAAACTTGACATTTTCAGCGTGTACATCGGTGGTTGTAGTTGTTGTTTCCTGTAGGAGAGGGGATTTTGAAAACGGTAACACGTAGGTAGTGGCAGGTGAGGAGAATGCAGCATGACACGTACATGAGAACTGACTGTACCCAACGTCAGCATATGGTAAGTCAGACTACCTCCACACGAGTACAGCAGATATACAACAGAAGGAAAAGCACAGGTTTATTGATGATGGCTGGATTCATTCCACCTGTGCTTCACCTGCAAGTGAAAATATCTGTCGTTAAACTGAAAAGAGTAGAAGCTGATTTATTGGACAATTGAAAACTCAGACAAATAGAATTTTTCCACATATGAGCCGCACTAGCTGTAGTGGGTGTATTAAGACACTATTGAAACTGGTTTCTTATGGATTTTCTTTTGTGAAACTCTGTACTGGGACCAAAACCTGTGCGCAAAAAATTTGGTTCTGGTCATGTCACAGCATTTCTAACATGAGCCCAGTTAGCAAAGTCAGACCACATCGATGTCCATCCAAACTAAGCCAACTCGTTTTCATTCTCAGGGCGTCAAAAACTGCCGTTTGGCCAAAGCCGCTGATGTCTTGGAGATGCAGACAAAGTGGTGTTGGTGCCACCCGAGTCAAAAGTCAACGCTGATGGAAGTATGAGAGTTTTTCTTGTTTAAAAGAGCTTCGTAAGGATGCCGGGCAGGCGGAGGTGGCGTAAGTCGCATTGTTTTCTTAAATTTTGTGACTCAAGTCTCGTCACTCGTTAAGGCACCAAAACTTCTTGGTCAGGTTTAGGTCAAAATACGCCAACCACATGTTACAAGGCAAAGTTCTCGATGTCTGAAATACAGCAACAGCACCAGCTAAGAACATTTAGCTGAGCACTGTAGCCTATTTCTGATGTTCACAGATTTTTCTAGACCTGTTGTGCATGAAGAGGTCGTATGGGACGAGTTGGGAGCGAGGCCTTTTCAAAGCTGGTGTCATTCTGAGGGTTGTGGGTCATGTGTGATTAAATATTAAGTAATGCAATTAAAAAAAAAGACAAGTGACATTGATTCTGTTTCCTAATGCACATTTTGAAGTATTGCATTAGAAAACGTTAATGGAAACAGCATAATTTCAAAACCGTTTCTCAATTTCACAAAAGATTTTTACGAGCGTTTGAGGTGGATTTTGACGTTTTCGGTGTTGATGTGCTTCATTAAAGATGGACAAACCTTGTGGCCAGCATCGAAGGAGTTCATTCTCCCCAAACCAGTTAATAGAAATGCACCAAATCTATATCATCCTTATTGTGTGACTTTTCAAATGTTCGCTTGCCAACGAAACACGGTTAGTGATGCTGAAACTGGACAGCGTCACGGTTACCATATTTACAGCTTCTGAACCGTCCCGACCGAATCTCTTCTCAACTCATGTCCTTGATTCGTCTTGTGCTGACTGAAACATCCTCAAACCCTTTATCACCACTGGTCAGGTTCAGTGTGGTTGGCTTCTGTTACCCTCATAACTTTGTGCACTGTCGCACGACGTGGATTTTTATCTCCGACGCTGATCCAAACCGGTGGAATTGGTAAATACTGACGTGTGGTTGTCGACGGGGCTGTGAGCTTCTTTTTAAGAGCGTGACGGTGAATTCCATTGATGAATACATTTTTAGTTGTAGTTTCATTTGAAAATGTCTGGACAAAAAAAAACAACCTTTTTTTTTTCTTTTTGCCCCGTGGTATCGTTCTTACCCTTCTCCCGTGTGGATTGTTGAGAGTGATTTCTCTGATGTCATGGTAACGGACGGCAATGACCTTTTTCCTTTTGTATTGATCCGGGGGCCATTTGCTGAGCAAGCATGCTCTTGGACCTACAGCCGGTCCTCACTTTCCACTGAGCTAATTGAGGACCCTGAAAATTGTATGCTGTTGACCTGGATTTGAAACAAAACAATAAAAAAAAAAAACAACAAAGAAGGAAACAGGTGACGTCTTTGATTTGTTCCCCTGTGCAGGTTTCATTTTTAAACGTTTTTTCTTTTAGTCACACCACTGGTTTTCTAGTCTTCTGTGTTACAACTGGGAGTTTCTCGAGAGATTTGATTTCCAGAACGATCCTGGGATTTCCCTCCAGCGCCACCAGCAGGGCAAAGTCTAGACTCAACACACTGGTGTGATATTTACTGCAACGCATTCAGGATAAACTTTAAAGTCGGCGTTATTTGCAGAGTAACATTCAAAACAACAGAAGCTGTACCAAAGTATTTTTCCAACCGAAAAATAAAACTAGTGGGAGTTAAAATATTGAGGTTAATACATTACAGTGTTGTTTATGGGGTGGATTTACCTCAGTAATTCAAATATTAAGAGTTAAAACTCGACAGAAATGTATAAAATATACAACTTACCTGACTATAGTTAACATTAAGGCGAGGACCCTACAGCATTATTAATTATATACATTATCCATCCATCATCTATACACCACTTAA